GCTGTCAAATAAATAAATAAATAATCTTTAATAAATAAATAAAAATAACCCCTCATTATTGGTAAGGACATGTATTTTTAGGACTGTTTTTAAATTTGTGGCTATTTCCATGAAGCTTCAGAGATGAACTGCAAGATTTCCGGGCATTTCAATTTTTTTTTACCCTGTGCTTAGTGGTAATGCTCTGAATTGATGACATGCATCAACCAGTTTGGTTTTGCTGTCGTCGTGATGTGTTATGTTTCATATAAACTCATTGGCATATTTTATGCAAATTAACAAAAATTTAAATCTTTTCATTCACCCCTTGACATTCATTGGATTATCAAACAATGCCAGAACTTATTCATCACACTTATTCAACATGAATTGTCATAATGAATTACTGCTTTTGGTATGACTTAAAATTCTTTTTTTTGTTGTTATAATTCACTTCTTTTTTTTTTTTTTTTTATAATTCACTTCTTAATGGCAGAATAATTTCTATTGAATTTGTCATTCATTTTTCATGGCTTTTGTTTCATATTCTCTAAACCTACTGAGTCTCTTTGAATGTCTGCTGAATTGAATTCAGTCTAAGCAATTGTGACAAAATGCTTCCAATAGTTAACTATAATAAAACACCATGAAGGTAGTCTCTTGCATTTTTTTTAAAGATTTTATTTATTTACTTGTGAGAGTGAGCAAGTGAGAGAGCACGAGCATGGGAAGGAGCAGAGGGAGAGGGAGAAGCAGACTCCCCACTGAGCAGGGAGCCTGACATGGGGCTTGATCCCAGCACTCTGGGACCGTGACTGGAGCTGCAGGTAGATGCCTAACCGACTGAGCCACCCAGGTGCCCCAGCCTCTTGCATTTTAAGATGACAGAGATCCTTCACTTGTTTTCTGGATGGTTCTGATGCAGTCTGGCTGGGTCTGAGGACCCAGAGGGAGGTCTGGCAGGACCAGACAAGAGGAAGTGAGAGCAGAGTTTATTAAAGATATATAGAGAGTGTAGATATGGATAGGGCATCTGGGAGACCAGAAAGAAAAAGAAACGAGTCTTGTCTTTACTTGGGATCCAGGTTTTTCATTGAGGATTGTGATCTGGTGACATGTCTTCTCAGGCGTCCAGGAAAAAAGACAAGTTTTAGGCATTCTCCATAAGTTACTTAAGCCCTGGAGACAGGGCTCTTGGTGAGTCAGTGGTCTGGAAAACGTTCATGATGATGCTGCCTGGTCACTCCTTGGATGTTATCTATTGTGCTGGAAGAAATTGTTAAATCCTAGTCCTTTACAAGGAGGACATACATTATCTGTGCTATAAGGCATGCGTAAGGCGGGGGCGTAAGTCCTAACAAAAATAGAAGCAGGAAAAGGAGTGAAAAAAAAAAGTTTTTCATGGGGTCCCTATAGTTTTCCTGTCTCGGTTCCAAAACGCCTTTCCAAACTGAGGTTAAAACAGTGTGATATAAAAATATATATTTAGTCTCTGCCCCTGGTTCCTGGCACAACGTTCCTAAAACCCTTGGAATTTCCTGAATGATAGGAGTGTCTATCATCATTCCTAAGGGGCCAATTTTGAGCACATCTAAGTTTATGCTAAAGAAGTGACTTGCAGTGGGTCCCAGAGATAGCCTCAGGATGGGGGCAGCTCCCTGAAGACTAAACACTTTACTAGAGGCTGGGAACCCTCTGTTCCACCCACCGATCTCCAGGAGAAGATGGGGGACTGGAGCTGGAGCTCTGTAAAAACTCTTGAACAATGAGGTTCTGGAGAGCTTCCAGACTGGTGAGCGCATGAAAGTGTTGGGAGGGGGCGCCTGGGTGGTTCAGTCATTAAGCGTCTGGCTTCGGCTCAGGTCATGATCCCAGGGTCCTGGGATCAAGCCCCACATCGGGCTCCCTGCTCAGCGGGAAGCCTGCTTCTCCCTCTCCCACTCCCCCTGCTTGTGTTCCTGTTCTCGCCATCTCTCTGTCAAATGAATAAATAAAATCTTTTAAAAAAATCATTATAAAAAAAAGTGTTGGGAGGATAATACACCAGGCATGCCAGCCTGCCATTCCCAGTACCCAGCCCTAAGCATCTCTTCCATTCGGCCGTCCTTGAGTTGTATCATTTCTAACAAACCAGTAATAGTAAGTAGAGTGCTTTCCTGTGCTCTGTGAGTCATTCTAGGCAGCTGTCATAGGAACCTCCAAATTTGTAGTCAGTTGGGCAAAGTGTAGGCAGCCTGGGCACCCCATTTGCAGTTGGCATGGGAAGTAGAGGCAGTCTTGTAGGACCGAGCCCTTTAACCTGTAGAGTCTGACGCTCACTCCACGTAGATAATATCAGAATTGAGCTGAACTGTTGTACACCTAGTGAGTGTCAGAGAATCCGAGAATTGGTTGTTAGTATGGGAAAACGCTCCATATATTTTGGGTCACAAAGAACATCAGAAGCAATGAAAAGTGAAAATCCTGCTGTCTATAAGCCAGGAAGCAGGCTCTCACCAGGCACTCAATCTGCCACCTTGATCTTGGACTTCCCAGCCTCCTAAACTATGAGAAATAAATGTCTGTGGTTTCAATCCTCCCAGTCTATGGTATTTGGTTATAGCAGTCCAAGCTGATTAAGAGAGAACTGGTCCTGGGGTGCCTGGGTGGCTCAGTCAGTTGGGCGTCTGCCTTCGGCTCCGGTCATGATCTCAGGGTCCTGGGATCGAGTCCCGTGTTGGGCTCCCTGCTCAGCGGGGAAGCCTGCTTCTCCCTCTCCCTGCCCCCTGTTCATACTCTCTCTCATTTGCTCTCTCTCTCTCAATAAATAAATAAATCTGATGGGTGGGGTACTGTTGCAACAAATACCTACAAAAGCAGAAATGGCTTTGAAGCTGTAACGGGAAGATGCTGGAGGAGATTAGAGGTGCACACTAGAAGTTCAGACTGCCTGCCATAAAGGGACGGCTCACGGCGATTCTGTGAGAGCGTAGGAAGGAGAGAGGCAAGCTGGAGAGAAAGCCTCCACCTTCTCATGGGCAAAATGTTGGTAGAAACATGAGTGGCCAAGATCATTCTGATGAGGTCTCAGACAGAAATGAGGAACACGTTTTTGGACAATGGGGAAAAGGCAATCCTTGTTATAAAGTGGCGAGAACTTGGCTGAATTGTGCGTTGGTTCTAGTGTTTTGTCGAAGAGTGATGGAATTGTTGGATATCTAGCTGTGGAGATTGCTAGGTGAAGTGTTGAAGGGGCGGCTTGGTTCCTCCAGACTGCTTGGAGTAAAACATGAGAGGAAAGAGAGGAATTGAAGAAGGATTGCTAGGTAAGAAGGAATGAGAACTTGAAGATTTGGAAAAGTCTCAGCTTGTCCATATTACAACAAACAAGAAAGTGTGTTATTAAAAAGAAAACATCAAGGATGTGGCTCCCTGGCCATTTGACAAGATTGGTGTGGGTGTGAACCATGGACCTAATCAACCATCTCAACAGAAGTCAGGAAGAGAGGATATTAAAGGGAACAGAAGTAGCAGGACCACACGAAGGAAGGCTGTTGGATTCTGAGATCCTACAGGACCAGGTCATGCTGCTATGCAGCTATGAGCAAGAATGGGGTGCCTGGCTGATTCAGTCCATAGAGCATGCACCCCAGTGGGTCCTGGGAGTGGGACTGCGGCCCTTGTTGGTCTAGAGGTCAGAGTATCTAACCGAAGAGGATTATTCTTGAGCCTTAATATCTCTTGGAATTTGTCTTGCTAAGTTTTGGACTTGCTTGGGGCTCATCGCCCCTTTCTCCTTTCTGATTTCTCCCTTTGGGAATAGAAATGTCTATCCTAGGGTGCCCGGGTGGCTCAGTCGTTAAGCGTCTGCCTTCGGCTCAGGTCATGATCCCGGGGTCCTGGGATCGAGCCCCGCATCAGGCTCTCTGCTCAGCGGGAAGCCCGCTTCTCCCTCTCCCACTTCCCCTGCTTGTGTTCCCTCAAATAAATAAAATCTTAAAAAAAAAAAAAAAATGTCTATCCTATGCCTGTCTACCACTCTGGGTTTTGGAAACCCGTAACTTATCTGATTTTACGGGTTCATAGCTGGAGAGGAATTTTGCCTCAGGATGAATCATACCACAAATCTCACCTGTATCTGATTAAGACGATGGTCTCATGTGAAACTCTGGACTTAACACTTCGCAGTTGATGCTGGAATGAGTTAAGAATTTGGGTGCTTTTGATACCGAATGAATGTATTTTGCATGTGATAAGAACATAGATTGGGGGGCACCTGGGTGGCTCAGTCGTTAAGCGTCTGCCTTTCGGCTCAGGTCATGATCTCTGGGTCCT